AAAGGCAGAGTGCCAGAAAAGAGAGAGGTGTCTAGAGTAAAATCTTCAAAGATCTGCACAAGGTTTCCCACACGTCTTCAGCCTCGTCCTGAGTAGCACACATCTGTGAGGAAACTACCAAAGGCCAGGGAAAGAGCCACCCAGAAGGATTAGCTAATAGTCTCTAACTATTGTCATAAATAGTTGACAATAGTTCTTGTTCTACCACAGTGAAAAATCTTATTATTCTCAGGTATCAGGTAGAATTTTAAAAACAAACACTGCTTTGTTCTGCCTAACAAAACTTAAAAATGAACTCCAGAAAGATCAAACTATTTTCCAAGTAACTTACCCACATACCAAAAGAAAGATCAAGAAGAATTTATAAATATAAGAATATCCAGAGCCAGGCATGTCTGGATAACGGTAATTCTAGAACTTTGAGAGGCCAAGGAAGGAGGATTGCTTGAGGTCAGTTCTAGATCAGCATGAGCAAGTGTGAGACCCTGTCTCTACAAAAAATAGAAAAATTAGCCAGGCATGGTGGCACATGCCTGTAGTCCCAGCTACTTGGGAGGCTGAAGCAGGAGGATGGCTTGAGCCTAGGAGTTTGAGGTTGCTGTGAGCTATTATGATGATGCTATTGCACACCAGCCAGAGCAACAGAGTGAGATCTAGTCTCCAAAAAAGAAAAAAGAAAAGAATATCCAGCCCACAAAAATTATTAAACTTTCAAAGAAGCAGGAAATTATGATTAATAATGAAAAAAATTTAATAAATAAAAATTGAACCAGAGATGACACAAATGATAGAATTGGTAGAAAAGGATATTAAAACAGTTATTATAACTGTATTATTCTCTATGTACAGGAAATAGGAAAGACTGAAGATGTGGAAGATATTAAAAAAAACAAACTTTGGGCGGTGCCTGTGGCTCAGTGAGTAGGGCGCTGGCCCCACATACTGAGGGTAGTACGTTCAAACCCAGCCCTGGCCAAACTGCAACAGAAAAATAGCCAGGCATTGTGGCGGGCACCTAGCTACTCAGGAGGCTGAGGCAAGAGAATTGCCTAAGCCCAAGGAGTTGGAGGTTGCTGTGAGCTGTGATGCCATAGCACTCTACCGAGGGTTAATAAGTGAAACTCTGTCTCAAAAAAAAAAAAAAAACTTCTAGAGATAAAACTACAATGTCTGGCTGGGCACAGTGGCTCACACTTATTATCCCTGTACTCTGGGAGGCTGGGCAGGTGGATTGCTTTCTCAGTACAAGAAAACTACAATGTCTGAGACGAAAAATACATCGGATGGGATTAACAGCAGATTAGAAACTGAAGAAGATCAGTAGATTTAAAGATAGCCATAGAAAATATCCAAAACAAAAGAGTGAAAGACTGAAAACTGGACTGAGTCAATGAGCGATGGGACAACTACAAGCATGTAATTGGCACCCCTAAATTGTGGGGTTGGAGGCAGAAAAATATTAGTAATATGAAACCAGTAGATGAACAACCACATGCCCATACAATTAAATTCAAGTGGGAGGAGAGTGCGGGGAGAGGAAAGGAGAGATGGGTTTTGGTAAACTCTCCCTTAACAGGTACAATACAGGCTCGGCGCCTGTGGCTCAAGTGGCTAAGGCGCCAGCCACATACACCCAAGGTGGCGGGTTCGAATCTGGCCCGGGTGGCCAAACAACAATGACGGCTGCAACCAAAAAATGGCCAGGCGTTGTGGCGGGCGCCTGTGGTCCCAGCTACTTGGGAGGCTGAGGCA